TGGTGTTAATCTCTGCTTATCTGGGTGATGATTGCTGGTGAAGAGATGTTCTGGTCTTTTGCTTTCCTTTCTGTTGTCTCTTGTAATATATACAGAAGGCATTCTTGCTTGAATTTACTCCGCTTGTGCCTTCTCCTTGAGGGATGGGAAGGACTCTGGGGCAGAGTGAGCTGATGACATGAGAGGAGTGGAAACTGCATGGCCTTGGTGGCTGCCTGGGACCAACCGCGCAGCGCAGCAACCACTACTGGGACCAGCGGCCTCCTACACCAGCCGCTAACACCCTGTAGGAAGCTGGACGTTCTGATTTCTTATCAAAGAATTGCATATCATGAGAAAACCAACGTGCATCTTCAGAGATCAAAAATTAAAATCAGGGGGATTAACATGGAGAAGGAGGGAGGGAAACAAAACAGTATAAACTGCAGGAAAACGGGGCAGCAACTTGCCAACCTCCCCAGTCCTTGTGGCCCAATGCCTTGGCAGAGCAGGCCAAGAGATGGCCACCCTCCTACCGTGCGTGGAAAAGCCGGCACCCTCCTTGCTTGAGGGAAAGAGGCTTGGCTCCACAGCTGGGTGGGCCAAGCTGAGGAGGCCGCCTGCACCCCTGGCCCCCAACAAGACACCCTCCTCCTGCCCTGCATGAGCCTGGAGGGAGGCTGGCTGGCCAGTTGGGAGGATCCCTCGGAGCTGGCTGAGAAGAGGCGGCTACAGGCAGTGCCCTGCAGGGCATGCGACGAAGGCAGAGCTAAACCAAAGAGAGCCGGAGGCTGACCCTTCAGAACTGCTGCTCCAGCTTCAGTGAGGCCCGGACCGAACTGTTTGCACAAGCCCACTAACTGTTCCTTAATGCAGATAGTCCAATGTGAACATAGCCAACAGGTGGATCCTAAGTATACTTTACTTCAAATAGGCCCATCCAAATCTGGGTCTGCCATTGTCTGGATTTAACTCAGTACGTTCAACTATTTTGCTACAGGAAAACATGAAAATATTTGAAGAACTCAGTCAAATGTACTTAAATCATGATCCTAAACCATGTGTTTCTCAGAACTTAGTAAACTGTAAATGAAACAAAATGAAAAAATATTTCTGTTTTTTCCACTAAAGAATGGACGTATTCTTGAATAGGGTACTGTTTAAGGTGTACATAATTCCCCTCTTGGTCTGAACATTTCACTCTGAGTTCTCTTTTTCCCTCTTTCCTCCTATTTTTGCATTTTACTTCATTGGAGATCCCCATTACAATCTAACAGAACTTCCTAGAACCTTTTCTTTGTTCATATTCATACAGCATACTTAGTCTGAATTAAACTATTCTCTGGATTTGCACAATACACTGAATCATAAACAAATCAATAGGATACACAACACGCCCAGAGTAAGCTATGTTTAACCCTAACAAAGCTGCCAAAGTTTCACTAACCTAACCAGTATGTTGCCCATCTGGTTAGCAGATTCCTTAACCTGACACCCTGACATCTCAGTGTGTTGCACTGTAGCCCTCCTAATTTCTAGCCAGCCTGGGGAGAAAGAGAGATGGCTCCACAGTGAAAAAGTCTCATTTAAGAGCACTGCTGAAAGCAATCTACAAGATCAATAACTACAGAATTGGATATGGCATGCAAACATTAAAACAATTGTAGCCGCAAGTTTTTTTTTTAATTAAGTATTTCCAGATAGGTATTTTTGGAACACAAATATGGAAAGGAAAAAGGCAGAAATAATCCCTGCAGTTTTAAGCTTTATTGGAAGTAAGAAGATAGGCCTACTGGGGCAAATGACAATTAATCCATTTTCTGAGGGAAGGATGCTTTTGAGGGGACAGATGGTATGGAAAGGAAATATTCATTCAGCTGGAGCTGGGAATCCAAGAGTATCCTCACCTTAGAGCCCACAAAACATCCAGTGATTTGTACACAAACATTAACTCTTATAACTCTAGAGCATCAAATCAGATTCTAGGACTTCTTCATTGATGACGTTTCTGGAACTCCTGATGAAAACAGGTGCCTCAAGGACTGAAGAAGAGGATTATGCAGATGGAAGGATTCCCTGCTACCGAGAGGGCCTGAAGCAGGAATCTGGGACTAGACAGTTTATCAAGAGAAGTGTGGGTGTGTGCCATTCAGGATGTGGCAGAAACAGCCCCTCTTTAAACTCACTGACAAGTATCCCTTCCTGTTAAACCATGTGGGAAAAATATAGCCTTGCCTTTGAAAGAGCAAGGGTTTATACATGAAACACAATGGCCAAGAACGGATTGGGGTGGCATAGAGGAAAAATTGTTCCTATGCAAGATACAGAACTTGCAGAAAAATACTGGAAAGCAGTAGTTAAAACAGCCAACTACAAGCAAAACAGGCTCCCAATGAAAGTCACAAATGCAATGCTGCATGAGCTATAGCATGGAAGGCCAGTCTAAGGTACATTTGGTCCTTAACTATATAGATATGTGAAGGAAGGAGGAGGAGGGGGAGAAGAAGAAGGCTGAACTGCAGAATTGCCATTCACAATGCAGCAAGGAAAGAGGATCCTAGATCCACACAAATCCTGAAGTATGCAACATATTTTCTGATGAAAGGGAAAAGAAAAGTAAACTGTGAAGTTCCCAGTTTTGTTCCTCACGTCCAGGCAAACAGCAAGCCAAGACCACAACCTTCAAAGGAAGTCCTCATTACCTGCCAAGAAGTCAACTTCATGGCAGAGCCAGAAGTGGAAATTGAGGCTGTACAGTCTACAGCTCTGTAGTGCATGCCTGTTCTGTCTATCCATCACAGCCATATTCGCACCCTGGGTAAAGAGGTTGAGAAATGCCTTTTGGTAGCTGCTCTTTCTCCAGTTTTCCTATTCCTCCCTTTCAATTCCCCAACAAACCTTCAGAATTTTAATCTCAATACTAGGATACATCAAGAAGATTAAGGTTAATGAAAATACATGTGAAAATGGCTGGCAATTTCTTGTGGGGGGGAGGATGCATGTAATAAACCCTCAATATGATTCATGGCCAATTATATGCATAGGTAAATGATATCAAGACTGTGACATTAATTGGTTAAATTTATTACAATTTTTGAATGACAAAAATAATCAAGTTTGTCTTTGTAATTCAATATTTACATACAAGTACAGTCAGAGGAATCATCTCAGAAAATAAAGCCCTCCATCACTCTTACAACAAGAGAGAATGGTCTGGTCACATCCATTTTCTTCATATACACATGAAAACAACCAACTCACCAGTTAAGTTAAAGTACATAATTATGATTTATGACCTTTAATGGAGACAGAGAAAACTGCATAGAGAATTGTAGAGC